TTAGACTCCTGATCTGTGACTTAGTGTCTGAGACTATCTATCTTTGGAACATTCTCAGTCATTATTGCTTCAAACAGTTCTTCAGCTCTGTTCCCTTTTTTTCCTAGTTCTAGTTTTCGAATTAAGCATGCGTTGTATCTTTTGAAATTATCCCCTACGTCTTGAATGCTATTTTGTGTTCTTCATCTTTTTTCCCTTTGCATTTTAGTTTGAGAATGTTGTATTGATCCATCTTCAAGCTTGCCGATTCTTTCCATGGCTGTGTGCAGTCTACTAATGAGCCCATCCAAGGCATTCTTTATTTCAGCTACAGTTTTATTTTTTTTTTTAATTTTCACATTTCCTTTGGATTCCTTCTCTCTGGTTACATTTTCCTTCTGTTCCTGCATGTTATCTATGTTTTCTGTTATAGCCTTTAACATATTATAACATCTATATCATATTTGATTCTGATTTTGATGCTTACTTTCTCTCTTCAACCTGTGACTTTTCTTGCCCTTTGGCATACTTTGTACTTTTTGGTTGAAAGCTGGAAATGATGTATCAAGCAATAGGACCTGAGATGAATAGGCCTTTAATGTGAGGTTTTATGTTAATCACCCTAAGAGATGAGTTGTGCTTAATGTTTTCTGTAGCTATTGGAGCCAGTGGCTTCAAATTCCTTTTGTGTCCTTTTTGTGGCTCTCTTATTGACGTTAGGTTCCCCTAAGCACTCCTCTTCAGAGGGAGTCTGCATCTTACAGCTCTTTCAGCTGTAATTCACTTATTATACTGGAGCTCTGTTGATGTTGTATCAATCTGTGGTGTAGAGGAAGCAGTCTGTAATTTTATGATTAAACCTCCAGCTCTGGTGGGCCTATGTCTCAGGGCTTTGATCTTCACAGTATTTCTCCAGTGGTATAAATTTTTTCCAATTTCGGGTGAGACAAGAAGGGGACTGGGGGCTGGACTGCGAGAAATGCCCTTGCATCAGGTGCAATAATGTTCTGGTAAAGTCTTATCCCTTGGAATCTAGCCTTTGTATGGAGAATGCTGTGGTCATTCTTCATGATTACTCTTCTCCTTCTTCCACAAAAGGGGATCTTTCTTGGCTCTTCACTCTGAGAACTTGGTGGAATGTTGGAAGCAAAACCCATGAAAATGTAGGGACCCCTTTGAGAATTCAGCCTCCAAGAGTTTCTCACTCTCACATTACCCCACACTCAGCATCTAGCAATTCATCAAAGTCACCACTGAAGTGTTGCCACCAGTTTATGGTTTCAGCCGCTTTTGCTACAGGTGGGCAGATCTTGGCTGAGTCTCTCTGGATGAACCTGTCTCTCCAGATTCTGGTGTGGTGATTTGCCTTGCAACATCATCTCTCTGATGGGTACAAGAAAGTCATTAATTTTCTTTTCCTGCTTTTTCTTATTGTCTGTACAGGAGTGACGATCCAGATCTTTACATATTGGAGCAGAAGACAGAAGTCCTCCAGATGTGCTCTGAACTTATTTCTTAGCCCTTTATATTCTCAATTTCACATGCATATTCATGCGTCTTGATTTCACTTTTATGTCCAGGACAGAGAACTTGACACATAGACGACACATTTCAAGCACACAATAACTAGGTTTCAAGGAATGAATGAATGAATTAATAAATAAATGAGGGTAAAAGGAGTACATGGTGACTTGAATATAGTATAGTTTGTATAGAATCTCCTGAGAACATAGTTGAAGGAAACAGAGAAAAGTCTCTGTGCATTTTGGCATCTCTCATAAAGTAATAAAAGCAAAGATCTTCAGGGTAATGTCTGCTTTGGACTGGAATTCCTTGGAGAGATTCGTACACTGTTTAAGGGATTCCTTGGAAATAAGCAAATCGTCATCACTTAATGGAGTAAATAGTTGTCTCATTTTAGTATTATTGTATTAACTTAAAAACTCTTGAATATGAGGAATAAAGGAGACAGTTGGATAGTCCAAATTGCTGATCTGAGATTGAAATAGCTAAACACAACATGTCTACAAGTATTAAAAGTTTTAAATAATTATACATCTCCGTGTGACTCCTGGGAAGGAAAAAAAGTCTGATTTCTTCATCCTGCAAGAGGAATACAAAGAATGTGAACATCAACAAACAAAATCCTTTGCCTGAATAATTCTGTGTCTATACCTTTAAGAGTAACAGTCTGGAAGTTTTAGTGTATTTTGCAGACTGATTTATAAATCCACATATGACTGAAAATAAATCTCCCTAAAATTCTGAGAACTTCATTTATGTTAATAGATTTAAATTTAATTACAGTGATTTGATATTAATTGTGGAAGATCTGAAACTGATTCACTAAATGTCACCATTTTTGAGTAAAAATTTGTTCATGACATTGGGTGCCGGGGTCCAGCCTCGGCAGAGTCCAGGTTCCCGCGGGAGAGACGGCGTCGGCGAAAGTGTAAGTGCTAGACGTGAGACTCGACGCAGTTGCAAGCAAGTCCGATTTATTTCGGGGACAGGGTACACTTATATAGGAAACAATCACACGAGGTGGTCTAACTATTGTCATCATGGGAACAATAGATGAGGGGCAGTGCGTGACTAAAGGTAATAATCAAAGGTGGTTGTCTACATACCAGATGTGCAGCATACATATCGATTGTTTAGGAAGAGGTTACATAGTTTCAGGGTCTTCAAAGAAGTTAGGAGGACAGCGAGTACATAATGAACGGAATATAGACCCCCGCATCCTTGGGGGCTGCTGTTTGTTCTTTGAGATATGTTTATTGCTAGTTCTGCCTGTTTTTACAAGGCTTCCAGGACAGAGGGAAGACGTTAATCAGTAATAGGCTTTAGAAAGGAGGACAAAGGATTCCGCTTAAAGAATTATGTTCCCTGGGGAAGTGCCTTGCACGATTCTCCTTCCATTGCCAGACCTTGTCGCAATACAATGGCAGCTAGATTGGGGGAATGCTTCCCACAATTGGGAGGAAAATTTCCTTTCAGTTTTTAATGTAAATACAAATAAAAGTAATAAGCTCTCTATACATATTGCAACACTGTTCCAGTGTATATGCAGGGGGTTGGGGAGGAGGAGGAAATGTAAGTCTGACTTGATAAAATTCTGATTTGTGGCGAGCAGAGGTCTATTACTGACAGAAGTGACTCTGGCTATTATAATACAATTCATTTCCTCAGAAATTGCCCCTAGGTTTTGGGAGAGTGTCTTTAAATACTAGGAAGGTGTTATTACACTTTGGGACTAACAGTCAGAATCTCCAGAGCCTTAAATATTCTCTGGAGAAAACTTTTATTCTTTTTTTATTTTTAAAACACTTTCCATATTCTCTGTGATGAATTTTTAATCAATTCATGAATTTTCATTCTTATATACATTTGTTCATACTGTTTTTCCTTCCTAAAATGCCTTATTCTAGTTCTTAATCTATCGTCAATGTCTAGCTGAAGATATATCCTCAGTCATAACATCCTCTCATATAAATTTTCCCCCACTGCCCCAAGCTCCAGAGTAATCTCCTCTCCTCATTTCCCATGCCACGTAGTAAAACTGAGTCTCATTACCCTTGAGATTATGGCACACTGGACATTGTTACATTCAGGTATGCATCCTGTCTCCTCAATATGTTGGTAATCTGCAGTAGTCAGGGAGTTATCTTATACTTATTTGATTCCTTGGTGTATAACAATGCAGTCTCCCTGGACTTATAAAAATTGTTTAATAAATGTTTGTTATTCATCAGAGAAGAAATCTTCCCGCAAGGGATGAAATGTTTACACCTAGGAGTTTTCACAACATTAGCTCTGTGGGAGTTTATAAAATTCTCACCTCCACAATTAACTTCATTTGAATTAGCCTGGCTTTTAACTTACTGTACTATTTTAGAGCCATCAGTATTACCTGCAAGTGTCTGAACACTTGCCCAGTGATTGATCATCCAAGTAGAATTTACTAGGGTTTCTCCTCTGTATTCTCCCAGGTGGAGGTAAATTACAGTGTTGCGGTAATCCTGTCAATACATCAGTGAAGAAGCAAAGGGCTAAATAGAAGTGATTCTCTCTGAAGAAGAGTCCAGCCTTAATGGTAGATTTTCCTCTTCAGCGTCTTCCCTTACTGTTTTAACTGTTTTCTACTTTTGTCTTCTTTCTCTTCTTCTTCCCTATTCTATTTTTCCCTTTTTCTGACTCCTTCTTCACTTTATTTTGCATTTAATTTTATTATTCCCTTCCCATTTTCAGAGCAATAACCAGAAGAAACACTGAATCTGTTTAACTCAGTTCAGGTCCGGTTTACTATGCAATCAGGTCGATTTAATACTGGAATAAGAGATGGTAAAAGTGAAGAGTGGCAGAAGATATGAAGAGACGACAATAGGGACAAAACACATCATGCTTATTTATAGAAATAAGAACTCAGAAGGACTGACACAAAGAGTGGTGATTAGCTATGGGAGATGTGACAAAAGGCCAGACAACTGAAGAGCTATGGTCATGATTATATTGAATTCAAGTATTTATCTTAAGCCTAAAGCTGGATTTCTGTTTTCAACCATCATGAACATTTATAAATCATCTTTCTTGTCTATTGCACTGACAGTCAGCTCCTTGAGGCAATGATATTTACATGGTCATCAATCAGGCTGAGTGTATTTAATGTGACATTTTAGGGGTTACATATTGAGAAAAGAGGAAATTAATTTTTTCATACATGTTCATCTCTTCACCTCATTGCCACAAATATAACTAAACCAGAATATAAAGATGATTTATAAGATATTCTTTTATTTCATCAGATTTTTAGAAAATATTTTTCTCAGTGTGTAAAAAGTAACAATTTTGGCTAGAGTTTATCTTACTTTAATCATTTGAAAAAGGTGCCTCATCGGTATATATAATCAATAGCAATTACTAATATTTAACATTGTTATTTTCATATTGTACCTTCAGTACCTCTTCTTAACTTTTTCCTTAATATTTTTACCAGAGTGGAAGCAGATCAGGAGGCAACAATGGAAAACCGTACAACAGTGACGGTGTTTATCTTAGTAGGATTGACAGAGGACCCAAAATTGAAGATCGTGCTATTTATTTTCCTGCTTCTCACCTACTTGCTAAGCATCTCAGGCAACTTGATTATCATTACCCTCACTTTGCTGGATTCTCATCTGAAGACCCCTATGTATTTCTTTCTTCGAAATTTTTCCTTCTTAGAAATCTCTTATACAACAGTTTGTATCCCCAAATTGCTTGTGAGCATGGCAACTGGTGACAAAACCATTTGCTATAACTGTTGTGCAGCTCAGTTATTTTTTGCCTTCCTTCTTGGTGCATCTGAATTTACCTCCTGGCCGTCATGTCTTATGATCGTTATGTTGCCATCTGCAAGCCCCTGCATTATACAACCATGATGAGCAGCAAAATCTGTATCCAGCTGGTCCTTAGCTCTTGGATGGCTGGTTTCTTCATCATTTTTCCAGGACTCATCTTAGGCTTAAGCCTGGATTTCTGTGACTCCAATATCATTGATCATTTCTACTGTGACATTGCTCCTCTCCTGAAAATCTCCTGCACAGACACACGTTCATTGGAAACGATGAGCTTCATCTTAGCTTTGGTGACTCTCTTGGTCACTCTGGTATTAGTGATTCTATCATACATATATATTGTGCTCACAATTTTAAAAATTCCTTCTTCCAACCAGAGAAAAAAGGCTTTTTCCACTTGTTCTTCTCACATGATTGTCATCTCTGTCTCATATGGCAGCTGTATCTTTATGTACATTAAACCCTCGGTCAAACAGAGGATATCCTTGATGAAGGGAGTTGCAATTCTCAACACCTCCGTTGCCCCACTTTTGAACCCCTTTATTTATACTCTAAGGAACCAGCAGGTGAAGCAAGCATTTAAGAACTTGGTACAAAAAGGCCTGTCTTTATCCAAGTAGAATCATAATGAGATCTATAAGGGAAATTAACTATTAAGGAATTTTGCAAGGGAAGTGCTTGGATTAGGTCCCAACTTTCCTATTGCACTATCTAGTAGATAATCCTATTTGTCCTTTAACTTCTTTCTGAAGTGTCATGATATTTACATTAGCTATTGTTTCTCAATAATGCCTTCCCTTTCAAAATCTCAAAACTTTATTTTTCTGTTCCATTATAAGGAATTTTTAAATTTGACCCTTTCTTCTCTTCTCCTTTCATTTAAGTGTTCCAAATATTTGAAAGGTTATTTTAATCAACTTTATGTATCAATTCATGAAGACTGTTAATTATATCCATATATGTGCAGTAAATTTTTCTCTTATAGTTGATTTTCTGTAAAATCTTAATAAATTCCAAACAATTAAATGATGTGGCTTCTTTGGGATTTTGTTTTTCCCTGGCTTTTCATGCCCTTATACACATTCCCTGTTGCTTTTAAATAAAGATATTTGAAAGTAGGAACTTGAGATTAAAATATCCATGTCATTCTTTGTCTTGAGACTTAAAAAAAATCACACCATCATAGTGTAATAAAAAAATCATAAGGTATGTTATATTTATGCTATATTTTATTATGTATAAGTAAATAGACATTGAATCAAATGTGTGTACTAAATCTAGGTAACTTTGGTTAAAAATAAAATACAGCCTAGAGAGATCACATTTGATACTTTTCCCAGCTATTCATTATTCAACTTGGAACAAACTGTGTTCCTTAGACTCTACATCTATAACATAATAATAAGCAGCTATATTATTCTGAGATGTTTTTAAGACTAACTTGAAAGTGAAAAATAAATGAGTAATGTTAATTATGAATCTGTGTATGTTATTACATATATTTAAGGTATCCACGGGGCCGGACTCTAGAAGTTTTTTTTTTTTTTTTAATTTTAATGAAGCACCAAGTTTGAGATGCATCAAGTTACCTAGTCTCCTAGTACCTCAATTTCCTTATTTGAAAATGGTGATAATAATGGTATATGTATCATTCTTTAAGTATCAGCTTTTATTATTACAAAACGTATTATTTTATATTAAGAAGAAAATGGGAAAATAAAAATTAGTAGAATGTTATTGACACACATTTTTTATCTGAACAATTGCTTCCCAAATAATGCATTGTGGCCCCCTTTTCATAGGAGCAATAACTCTAAAGATGATTCTCTCAGAATACAGACTTGGATCTTTGGGAAAGAATAAGACCTTTATTCAAAAGTGTTCTGTGTAACCATTACCATCCCATCTTAAGAGCCACCTTCACAATGGGGCTGTTATCTTTTCCGAACAGATATCAGTTTATTTGCTTTGTAGGATAAAAATTAAAGAATACTTCACACAAATATAATATTATTTTAATTATTATATAACATAAAAAATATTATTAATTTAATAATAAATTAATATTTACTTCTAGTCAAGGCAAAGTAAAAATGAAAATATTATTACTACATCATTATTTGGAAACATATATGCTTACATATATTCTAAGCAAATAAAATAAAGATGCACATACCTATACTCTTAGAAATACTATTTTGTAAACTTTGAAAAATATTTGCTGCTATTTACATAAGTATCTTGATATAATAATTTTACAAGAACATAACTAGGACTCATAGAAAACAAAATTTGTCCATTGTATAATGGTTTTACAAATAATAGTGAGAGACTCATTTCCTGTGTAATATTCTTTTCACAGCATCTTTCACATCTCTGTTTCTCAGACTATATATTAGAGCATTTAGCATTGGTATTACAAGTGTGTAGAGCACAGCTACAATCTTGCTTTGCTCTGGTGAGGAGACGGCCCCAGGCTGGGCATGCATGAAGAACACAGTCCGTAGAATAAACTCACCACAGCTATATGGGAGTCACAGGTGGAGAAGGTCTTACTCCTGCCATGGGTGGAAGGGATCTTCAGGACAGTGGAGAGGATAGAAGCATAAGAAGCAAGAATGACATTTGTGGTGGTGATGATGATGAGAGCAGAGAGAATAAACAGTACGATCTCATTCACAAAGGTGTCAGCACATGAGATCTTGATCAGGGCTGGGATATCACAGAAAAAGTGGTCCAATCTGTTTTCTCCACAGAAATGCAAACTGAAGGTGAACCTTGTTTGTATCATGGAGTCAATGCATCCACAGATATAGGATCCAGTTACCAAAAGAACACAGACTTTCTGGGACATGTGCACAGGATAAAGGAGAGGGGAGCAAATGGCCGAAAATCGATCAAATGCCATGACAGCCAGTGGAAAGCCTTCAGTTGTGACAAACAGGGCAAAGAAGAAAAATTGAGTAGCACAGCCATTGTAAGAAATGTTCTTTTCATTAGCCAAGAAGTTGTCTAAACTTTTGGGAGCAATGACTGTGGAGTAGCAGAGACATAAATGCAAATTTCTAAGGAAGAACTAGATAGGGATTTGAAGTCTGGAGTCCATCTTAATGACAGTTGTCATGCTGATATTTCGCACCACAGTGACCACGTGGAGTAGCAAGAACACTAGAAATAAGAGGATCTGTATCTTTGGAGGGGTCCTGAACCCCAGCAGAATAAACTCAGTGACCTCTGAGTAGTTCCTAATAGGCCTTCTCTTCATAGCTGAACTACGGGTGGAACCGGAGAGATGGTAAAAATGAAAGAAATGAATGATTAGAATACTTGTTTTAGTAAAAACCACTAGAAACCAGCATGGAAAAAAATTATTTCATATCATATTACCTAAAATTTTACAAAATACCAATGACCATAAAGAATGGTTAAACAGTCTGCCTAGTGAAGAGTTCAGTCTGCTTGGTCAGCCTTTTTAGATACTTATTTGCAAATAATAACGTTTGCTCTCTAAGCGTTTTGGAGAAATGGAGATTCTAGGAAAATGCCTAGAAACAAACAAAAGCTTTTTCATTAATTTTCTTTATTTATTATCTGTTTACTGACATTGAAAGTTGCCGACTTTAGTGGGAATAATTTCTCACAGACATTATAATTCATCTAAGATTTTATTTGGAGTAAAAATCAATTCAATTGATGGTCTTATTTTATTTTTAAATGATTATTTAGTTTCTTTATCTACTATAGAAAAATAATATGCAAAGATTGTATCTGTCTTTCTTACATTTGGAGAAAGACTTCAGATCCTGACAAAAGTTTCATCCTTTTACATATTAACCTCATATCCTTATTTCTCATTATTTTGGTCCCTGTGGCAACATACACTCTTAGTGGCACAGTTCATCTGCTAAAATCCAAAGTGACACTTGCTTGTATTTCCTAAACACAATAAAATCAGACTTTTATTGTTTCCCTCTTTGTTTTCTTCCATCCTTCATTCTTTCCATCCTTCTGTCCTTCCTTTCTTCCTTCTTTTCTTCTTTCTCTTTCGTTCTCTTTGGATTTTGCAGATTGAAATGCAAGTAGAGAATTCTAAAATCTTGAGTAGAGATTTTTCTGTCTTTTCAGAAACAGACAAATCTAATTGCAAATGCAAAGACCTGTCCATATGAACAATGTCCATATGATAGAAGGTGCATGGGACAATTTAAAGACAGCTACAAATGGGAAAAAAAAGAAATGTGTTTAAATAAGTTCGCATTGTATTTATTTAGGCTTTTACTATTATGACTATAAAATGTTCTTAAATAAAATGCAGAGTGGAGAGTTAGAGAAAGGAAGAAATTTTTATTCTAATTTTATTAATGGGGAAATTGAGACAAAAGCAGATATAAGAGACTTAGAGTCATGAGATTGAGCAACATGGTGTTTTACTGTTCAATAATCTACCATAAAAGAAAAATGACAGACAACAAATTCAAAAATTCACTTAGGAAGGACATGTCTTTTAAAATTATAAAAATTTATATTTCTGTATATATAAATTTTTATACAAATTTGATAATTAAAATAAAATTATGTGATATAAATTATAAAATGTCTCATAATATCTATTTAATTTTTGTTATTCTCATTGCTATTGTGTCAATAATTTTGAGATTATTTTAAGATAGATTGGGGCTATGAAAGTACATTAGAATCAATTTGGTTCAGTTACAATATCTACTTTCTGGAAAAGATTAAAAGTTTACAGAAATGTTGACTGATTTTTGAAGGCATAGGAATGATCAAAATAATCTCTGACAGGGCCCATTAACTGAAAAAATGCTACCTTGCTTTAAATGAGTTTCTAGTTTCAACAGAAAAATCAGAAGAAAAAAGAAAGATGTAACCAAAACTATATAAAAGAAGAGTGTTGAGAATAAACTAAGTATGAGAGAGAATCTCAAGGATAAATACTACTTCTTATCTTGATACACTCTCACTATATTTGAAAAAGAATACACCCATGAAGAAATAAAAGTATGAAAAGAAATCAACAACATTTTTTAGCGTGAAGTTTTTCTGCAACATGGGTTGCGTTTCCTCACGGCTTGTATCATGACTCAAATTGCTGAGAACAGGTACTAGCAAAAATTGTAGCTTATCTCCCTCTCTCTCTCTTTTTTTTTAAAATTTACTTTATTTTTTCATTGATTAAACCAAGAAAGAGACCTGGAATAAGTACTGAGAGAAACCTTCTCATGGAGAGGGACATCAGAGCGGTTGGAATTTCTTCTGCAAGCTATTAACCAGGACCAAGGGTTCTCTCACTAGTAATGTATTTTGCGTCATAATGCAAAAAGAAAAATGAGAAAAGTTATCAATTAGTAAACTCACAAGACCATTAGAAAGTTAGAAGGGCTATCTAGAGGACATGAGAACTAAACTTCTACTTTAAAACAATGTAATAGAAAAACATTTGGATGAGAAGTACTTGATTCCTATTTTATTTTCATGATTTAAACTGAGGGACATTTGTGATATTTCCTTTGAATAGATTGCAACCCTTAATTTTAGAAATTCATTTCTTGTCTCTGCTGTAAATACATCATGCTTGCACAAGAAGAAAATAAATATAGAG